TGAATGTGACTCTTCTAAAAACTAAAAACTGTTCACAAAATTTAATTGTTAATATATGTTTGGAATAACTAAGTTGTAAAGTTGAACTAAGCTTAACTTAGTTCTATACATTCACAAACAGGAAAATAAGTTTCTTAAGACCGATATATAAAATAATAGTAGTATAAGTAATGGAGTTGCGAAAATCTAATCAAAACTCACAAATGTTTTACTAAAATTGAATTGATAATATTTGTAATAAAATATTGGAATTAATCAAAGGTAAAGCTGAAAATAGCTTTACACTTATACTTTCACAAAGATAATAAAAATCAATCAGAACGATTAATAAAATAGAAGAAGTATAAGTGATGGATTGCGAAAATTCAACAACACTCCTCAAATAATCAAACAGAAAAGTTGTTCGAATTTATATTAATAATATTTTATATTAGATATCTCAAACATGAGAGGTTCTATCTAACTTGAATATTACGAGTATTACAAATAAGAACTTCAGCACTTTTTCCTAAAAAATTAACTGGAAAGAAGTGTAATGTTTCATTTTTACCGAACTTAAATTAAGTGAGACCCTAAGTCAGAGAATCACTTATTCAAACTAAATTAGCACTATTTGATCTGGTTCGTTTTAATCAATAATTACTATATTTTACTTATTTAGATTTCTTACGTATTTAGTAAATTAGATTCTCATAAGCACATTTTAAAAACCTTAAAAACCTTTTATTTTAAAACAATGAAAATATAAATAATATAAATGATCTTATCTGATCTGATCTTATCTGATATATCTGATCTTTTTATAGTATTCTTAAAATAAGTTTAAAAATTTTTTTAAATGATATTGAAAACAATTTTTTTCGATATTTCTTCATAACATTCGGATTCGAATACATTTCCTATAGATCGCTCCTCCTTGCTAGGTTTTTATCTAGGTTTTTTGTTTTTTTTTTTATTGAGTAGGTGAGAAGCATCGAAAGCCACCATATTAGATTTCAACCCACTAAAACCACCTTTTAGAATTATTTTGTAGAAGACATCACAGTGCTCAGTCATGAAGATTTATTCTTTTGTTTTCTTAAAATCATATCAATAGTGCTAATTCGTTTAAGTAGACTAGGTGCAACTTCAATAATATAAAAAAAATAAAATTCTTGTGTTAATGCAGTTAAATACATAAATACATAAACCAATACATAATCTTAATTCTATTCTTTTACAAGAATATTTGAAGAATAATGAGCTTAAATATTCTATTTTAATATTAGGTCCATTTAGTTCGATTGATAGACAGATATAGAGTTATAGATATCTGTATCTGTGCATATTTTTGTCACAATATTTTGGAAACTTGTAAACGACATTATCATATTTAAGTTATTTATTATTAATACGTTTTTATATTACTCTTATAACGACTTTAAACTAAAATATTTATAAATTTAATAAAATTACTTCAAAATATTCAACTTACCAAAAATGATTTTTTTTTTGTAATATTTTTTATTAATTTAATTTTATTCTCCAGGGAACTGCACTGGTTTTTGATCAATTCATTTCTGACTTCATATACCTTTACAAAATTTTGTACACAAGGTGACTTGGTCATACTCAATCTATGTAACATTGACAACAGAGACGCCAGCCAAGTATGGTTGACAACTGCTAACAATGAAGGAATGGAGGAAGGCAGTAGCAAGCTGCTAGCATGTAGCTAAAGAACAATAGCAAAAGTACAACAATAAAAATGATAATAATAATAAAAAGCACAAAATATTAAGAATAACATTCAAGTGATGCGTGCCACTCCAAGCAACAGTCACATAGCTCAACCAACTGCCACTAACAGAGGTGACCAAGGAGGAATATTCAGCATATTCAGCATAGAAAAGTTGGAAAAGTGGAAAAATAGTTCTTTAACCTTACAATGGATATATCCGCACACGGACGATATCTAATAGATATCCCATTAGAACGAGACAGATAAACGTTGTTGTGATAAAAGTGGAGATAACAGATAGCAACTTAACATATGTACCATATGACAGAAGTGTAATATGATAGTGTTAGTAGATGATTATGATTTGCAAATATCATTAAAGCGTATATGTGTAGTGCAGGGTAAGCATGTTTTTACTGAAAGAAGAAATGATTACAAAAAAAATGATGGGCTGCAATATATACCGGCAATTGGATACAATGGGCATACAATGGGCTTAGCATTTGAACTCTTTTTAGCAGAGCAGCACATTTTGAATTCCATGGAAAAGAGTGGCATCAGGAGGCATTCGTTGACAGTGACAAAAGCACTGTCAATGTGATGTGTGTGTATCTTAGTGGGTGCGTGGCTAAAAGTGACACTTTACGTAGCATTTAGTGTGCGGTTGTGTGTAAATATTCCTATTAGTATTTTTGTTGTTATTAATGTGTGTGAAATTTGAGGCTAAAGTACTCGTATCTCATGGGAGCTAACAAACACTTAATCAGTAAAATTAAGCACAGTACTGATGGCGTCCAAGTGAGTCAATGTTGTGACGCGTCATGCTGTGCGTTTATGTTGCTTTCTTGCCAGTTCGCCATTTTAACAGTACCACAGTACTACAGTACCACAGTACCACTAGATACCAGTTCTAACAGACTGCCACTGTTGCTTGTTGGCTGATTGCTGCTTGGTGCTTAGTGCTTGGTGCTTGGTGCTTGGTGCTACAGTTGCTTTTGTCTAGTGTTTGAGTAAAAATCTTTTTTTTTTCTACATCTACTTCTAATTTTTGTTTTTTTTTTTTTCTGTATGATTTTGTTGTATTTTTAAGCAATATTGCCAACTGTTGTAGCGTATTTGGACGCCATAAACTGAAACGCCAATATGCGGTGCGATGGCGCTGGTAAACATCAGTTGTGCTCTGAAAACGGACGTGTGCAGTTTGTGGATCGCAAAATACGAGTATACAAAATGTGCTGTAGGAAAATGTAACAAAAAATTAAAAATGTAAAAACCAATTCATAGTAAACAAAAACATAAAAAGCAACTTCTACATACAAAAGAAAAAGTAATAACAATAATAATAATAATCCAAATACCAGAGCAGCTAGCTTAATCGAAGTAAAAGCACATAAATTGTTATAAATTTTATGGTGCTCCTTGTACAAACAAACCAAAGCAACTTACAAACACTTATTTTATTGTTGTGCCTTAGGTCCCATAGTGGTTTGGGTGTAACAACTTTTGGTTGCAATAACAACAGTAACAACAATAGTAACAGCAGCAGCAGCAGCAGCAACAACAACAACAACAACAAGTGAAAATAACAAAGAAAACCAACAACATGGAAATCATAAACTTTCTCTAATAACTTTTGATTTTATTGAGAAAAGAAGGTAAATGAAAGCAAACTAAGAAAGCAATAAAATCATCGAACGAGTGATATGTCACCTCTAAAAACGTACCTAATACACAGCAGTAAGAACAACAACAAAAGCAACTATAGGTTGAGTTAGGGGAAACACCCACTTTAATAACGCCAAAGGGGCTTTGTGAGTGTATGAGATTTGCACGTGGACAACGTATTCACCGGTTCAGTTTGTTGGATTGCTGTTTTCTGATGATTTCCAAAATTGCTTTTACGGGGATTATGTTCAATGATAATTGAGTTTGTTTGCTTTTATTTTGATTATAATTTCGATTTAATTGAAAATTTTTATTTTGTGGAGTAGTGAATCGTGAAAAATGATTTCAATTCCAAATGATGAAATATTTGTTCAAAATTAGCAGCAGAATCAATGGGAAATGAGCACTTCGGATGACAAGACATCAAATGAAAAACTGGAGTAATGTAATAACTAATGAGAAATAAATAGAACAAAAAAAAAACAAATTAAAAGTGTTTAAAGATATATGAAAAACTAGTGATTTTCTTCATAGTGATAAACTACAATAAATAATTAAGATAATAAGAACGCTTTAAAAAGTATATACAACCAATAATAAATATATTATGTTATATGAAATTGAATAAAATAATTGAATAATATTTTAAAAACGTAAATAACAATAAGAAATATATATAAAAATAATTATAATTAATATAATTAATAATTTATTGTATATTTGTGATAGTTTGGAATCAAAATTTTGTGTAGTTTCTTATGCAGATAATAAGCTAATAAAAAATCAGTTTAGAGTCTACTTCAGTATATTAAATACTTTTAAATCAATTGTTTAAAGTTCTTTTTAAACGGTGTTTATTATATTCAAACAGTTGTTAAAGTAAATAAATTATGTTATTTATCTAATTAAACTACAAGTATTAATTTAAAAAGGGTAAACTAATATAATTTTGGTAAACAATCATAAAAATGTGAATTTAAATAAATATTTTAGCAAACAATATTTATTATAATTGAGTTTAAATTCTATTAACTTTCCGAATATATATTTTTACTGTATTTAATATACACATTTGTAATTAAAACTGCAATTTAAATACTAAAACTTTGATTTAATTATGCAAAACTTTTAATAAAAGTTAAATACAAAAAACCACCATTATAAAAAAAATGTGAAAATGTAGAAATTATTTATCACATTTTGCTGCCATATAAACAAATTAATTAGTGAAATATAATTCATAAAAATAAAATAATAACATATTATTGTATGCTTGTAATAAAACGAGTAATAAACAATCAACAATTTAGTTATAAAAAATGATACATTTTTTATTAATAAATTAAATATAAACAAACATATATATGTATTCACACATGAACTGAAAATATTTTTATGAAAAAATAAAAATTATTAGCAAAATATTATTGTAAAGCAAAAATGTCACAGTGTTAAAAATGTTGCCATACATAAATTTTCAATAGTGAAACATATAAACAATATTTTTTATTTATTTTAATTTTATTTAATTTATGAATTATTTTGAATTGGATACCTGCACAATTGGCCAAAACTAAACCAACGGATTTTTTAATAAAAGTTCCCACCTCTAAAAAACACCAAACTCTTTTTACGAACATTTGCAACACTACCACATCATGGCTAATTTAAACAATTCGACTCTCATGCTGCTGAACAATTTCGTCGCTGCCCATACCATCAGCAGCAATAACAATAACGACGATTATATTGACTTTTCCACCAGCAGCAGCTTCGCGACGAGCAATAGCAATAGCAACAGCAACCCGAACACAACATTTTCGGCGATCAAAAATGACACGGAATTTCTTGAATTCTATGGCGAAATACAAAGCCTCGTATCCATAATTGTGCCCATCTGTTTTGGCATCATTGCAGTGACTGGCTTTTTTGGCAATACTTTGGTTATTTTAGTGGTGCTACTGAATCAACAGATGCACTCAACAACAAATCTGTTGATTGTAAATTTAGCAATTGCGGATTTATTGTTTGTTGTCTTCTGTGTGCCATTCACAGCTGCAGATTATGTTACAGATATTTGGCCTTTCGGAGATCTTTGGTGCCGTATTGTGCAGTACCTAATTGTGGTGACGGCGTTTACAAGCATTTACACACTGGTTTTGATGTCAATAGATCGATTTTTGGCTGTGGTACATCCGATACGATCACGCATGTTACGCACAGAGAAAATAACCAAAATTGCTATTTTTACCTTGTGGACGGTGATACTGATTATATCGTTGCCAGTACCAATGGCTCATGGAGTGTTGGTAAGTAGAAATATTTCAGGAGGACAAAGAAATTGAAAATTACACATAATTAAATTTAACCTGCATATGTCGCTACGTCCCACAGAAAACAATTGATTACATTTGAAAATTAATGAGACTTCAATAGTTACTTGCAGCATTTCAGCAATATACTTTAAGACCTCAATTGAGTTGGGTTTGGTTATAATAATCATTATATTTATTATTAAAGAAATGGGAAGTACTGTATACGGCAATACAGATTGCTGCCTACACTTGCCACAAGATAACATGATTATCTGGAAAGAATATTGACGAAATTTAAGGTCAGTAAGTCTATTTAAGGTCTATTTGTCTAAAGAGAAAGATAAATAGATGGCAAATAATTTTGTTTGAAAAGGAATTAGAAATTTGTCCATCGATAAGGGTTCTTGGAAACAAGATCTGCTTTAGTGTTACCATCTTCAAGATTAGATTTATCTATCAGATATCGACAGGGATTAAATTGATTTTAAATGTCTTTACTAAATTCTATTTTTTTTTGGAAAATAATGATATAAGACATCAAATATTATATCCGATGTATACAAATGATCCTTCTAGTCTTCTCTAGAATCAGAAATGATTCTTCTGTGTGGTATTAGAAATGCATATATTTAAACACTATTAAGAATTGTTGCTTTAAAAACATTTTTTAACAGTTTTTTTACAGCAACTGCGATCAGAACGCAAGTGGAACCACAAAAGTATCTTCCAAATTTGAGAATTTAGGTAGATAGTTTATATTTCTGTCTGGATTCATGAAGCTGTTAATTGATTTGGAAGTGACAGACGCTTCTCAGATTTGAAATCACTTTATATGGAAGCTACTAAATAAGAAAGTATTGAACGTGCTAAACATAAAGATTTTAAATTTCAACAAATTTTTATATGTTGGCAACCCTAAACTAACCCTAAATTAAAATGTTATAGTCTATATTCCACTCCTTCGTATACTCACAGACCGACTTAGCGATACAGAAGAAATTTCGACTTAAAAAGCTTTTTGGAATGTTAGTAACCTTAAATATTGACCTTAAGGGTAAAAAGCAATTTTTATGTGTTTTATATTTGTAGTTACTTTTTATGTGTTTTTTGTCAGTGTATATTGTATATAAAGAGTCGTTATATAAATTTCATTATAGCAAATAAAAATTAATATAAGAAATAAAATTAAAAAAGTATTATAGCAAAAAAGTTGGAAACCTAAGAAGTAGTTGTCGATGTATAACTTTTTGCCGAATCAGTTATTCTTTCTATTTTTGTTATAGTTTTTAATATCGCAATTGAGTTCTCATATTAAGTCGTTATATAATAAATTTAAAATTTGGAGTCCATTTTTAAAATTATATTTCACTTACGAATTTACAAAAATATTACTCTGCTTTATAATAATGACATTTTTCTTGACTTCAACATTTGATTAGATAATGTTCAGTACTCTTTATTTTGCGAGATACATAAATACTTTATTCTTTTTAATTATTTTTAAATACTTTAAAATTGTTTAAAATTTTCCACAAAATTTTTTAAATTTTTATCTTATTTTTAATAGCACATATGTTTTTTATTTTTTATTTTTATTTTATTTATTTTATTTTTTTC